TTGCTCATCTCTTTTATTTCTTGCTCAACGTATAATATTTCTCAACACGTGGTACTTTTGCAAAAAAAAAAAAAATGCCAAGAGGAAATAGATCGCGCGAGAGAGAACTAAAACTAGTTAGTTTTTTCTCGGTAAATTATAAACTTTATAGAACGACCCATATATGCAACTGCAATGTGTGTGCGCGCGCGTGTGCGTGTGTACGCGTATATGGGCGTCGGTGACCTATTTTTTAATAAATTCCTGCAACACGAGATAAAGGCGACATTAACGCTGTCGTTCGATCTCATCCTCGACGTTGTCGTCGTCCATACGGGATTAGCCGAGTAATCTCTCGAAGAGCAGCTTCAAGGAGTAACGAGATCCCGCGGGAAACGACACGGACTTTTTCTCATCTCGCGCGAGTGGCGCGCGTCGTGCTGCGACAACGACGACGACGACGACGACGACGACATCGCCGCCATTTCTCGCAGAGAAATTCGCCGTTCCCTTTTCCGCCCCGTGCACAAGACGCTTTTATTCCCGCGACGCAAAGAGCGTCGAAATAAAACGGTCGCTCGCGCTTTCGGGAACTAATAATAAGCGCGGGCGAGACGAGAAAGAAATTAAACGCAGTCTAATAAGCGCGTTTCGGACAAAATACCGAAAATTTCGTTTTTTTTTTTTTTTTTTTTTTTTTTTTTTTTTTTTTTTTTTTTTTTTTTTTTTTTTGATAAAATTCCGCGGAACGATATTACTTACCCACTTGAGAGTAAGTACTACTGATCGTTTTTCTACGCGAGTTTCGAAAAGCTCGAATACACACACGCGTTTCTTAACGCACAATTTAACTCCGTACCTGTGGATTTTTTTTGTGTATTTTAAAGTTTTCAGTGTTTTTCTTTTTTTTTGTTTTTTAGCAAGGAACCATTTCGCGCAAGCACAATTCCCGCAATCGAATTGTAGTTTCTGTTCAGCAAATGCGGATATTATCGAATATCCCGTATAATGTGCTATTGAGTGTATAATACCATAGACGTTCGGTGTGTGTGCGTGCACGCGCACATTAACAATCCGCACACAATGCGCGGAAAATTCGATCCTTGTGTACATATGTTACATATGATCGTTAATTATCGGACGGCTCTTTAATAATTTTGCTTCCACCACGTGTGTGTGTGTGTTCCACTTAATGCCGTCGGAATACCGATTTTTGCTGGTCGTACGCGCGATCCGATCTCGCTTCATAAGTATTGATTACTTATCGTGCGATAGTTATTGCAAACAAATTCGCATTACAGGTGGAGAACTCTGCCGGAGAAAGAGAAGGAAGAGATCTCGCGCGCGCGCGCGCGCGTCGGTCTCTTTGTATCGTCGCGGCGGAAAATTGCAATCGTCAGGCCCGGTACGTGAAAAACCGGCCTAACCCCCGAAATTTAATAAAACCGTTTTTCTCGCTGGCAGAAACGCCCTCTCTTCACCTACTGACCCAATTGGCGCTACGAGCGCAAAAGTGGTCGCCGTAAATGTAATAAAAAGCTCCGGTCTAAGCTAAAAACTCTCGTCTGCATGAAAAGAGAGAACTAATCAATCTTTTTTTTTCTCTTTTTTTTTCTCTCTCTCTCTCTTATCGAAAGAGAGAGATAAAAACTGGTATATTTATTCAATAAATGTGTCTTGCAACACGTCCAAAGCTTTTATATAACACAGTTCGCTCGATACATCGACGAATAATTATCGTTTATATTTATTTACTCCACACTTTTTGTCCCAAGTCGGAGTTCATTTAATCGTCGTTCTCTCAAACCTGTTTTGACATAAATTAACGCAATTCCAACTTGTAAAATTTGTTTTCCATCTCGGGGTGGGCCATTAATAATCAGCAGAAACGGTGGACGGCGAGTGCATTAATGAATTATATATCGCTCTCAAACAGAGTTTTAGCGCGACCAAGGCGTTAAGGAATTAAGGATCAAGGCAAAGTTCGTCGCAAAGTTTGCCGCACTGGAAGAACCATAATTCTTCGCAACCGGAACGTACGAGTAATTGCTCTCCGAGTCGCTTCTCACCTTATTTTCCTTGTCGTCACTCTGTCGTCTCTCAACAACAAAGAACTCGAGAACTAACCCGAGCCACTTTGGTATACAGCATAGTATAGCAGCACATTGACGCGTTCAGTCGCGTGATGTAACACAAATAACGTATATAATTGCTGCTCGTCCGAAATTGTGCGCGCAAACTGATTCTGGTTGACGAAAGATGTTGCGCGACGTCACTGTACGGTTCTCAGACGGCGATAAACAAGAAAAACACTGCACTAGTTTTATTGTTTGACTTTAGTCACGTGTTGTTTTTTCTCTTTTGACCTGTCACGTGACTTTACGTTTTCAACCTTTCGATTTAAAAAAAAAAGAAATTGAAAAAATATTGCTCTTTGCGGAGATATTCGAACTTAAAGTCGCGTGGATCTCGCAGACCTAATCTGGACAACTCGTAGATCGTTTTTTATGTCTGGCACTAAAGGGTTAAGCGAGAGAAAATATTTCGCTTACTATTTTTCCTGGCATTTAATCCATCAAGAGGTTTTTTTAATTCTTACTCCCTTATTTTTGCTCCTCAAATAATTAATTAATCGCTTAAAAATGAACGTTGTAAAGTCTCTCTCTTTATAAAACGCGTGGTTTCTTTTTGCATCCTCAAAAGACCGCATTCCTTTTTGCGAAACGCGTCGCGAGGATGCGCGAAGCTCTCTCTGTGCGCGAAAAACTTAATTAGCGGCCGTCTTCTGTGCGGCGTCGTAGCCGCGTTATATTCGCTAACAACGCAACAAAACGGCCGTTCATAATCTACGAAGACGGCTCCCTTCTGGCGCAACCTCTCTCCGTGCCGCAACAACCTCCATCCCTTGAATGCGCGCGCGCGACCATTGCGGCATAAATCCCGCTCGGAGAGAATATTACGTTCCCCTCGGTGTAGTTGTGAAGAGAGAACTCCGACTATCTCTCCTCGGATATATAGCGCGCCCATCCACGCTTCATTCACCGATGCAACATATCCAACTATTTCCGAGACGAGCTTTTTGCTCGTCTCCAGACGACGCGCCGTTGGAAAATGGATTTTCCGACCGGACGCGGATAACCCTTTGTCGGTGATATCGTGAGCAACGAGAGGAGGCGACGGCCGGAGAAGAGAGAATCGCGAAGGGTTTGGCGAAGCGTAATCCGTGTTATTAACCCTGTGCTGCTCGAGGACACTCTTCGCCGCCGTCGTCGTCGCCGTCACGTAACGGCCGGTTATACCGCGACAAATGATTACGGAAATGTATAAATTCCTCGCGACAGTAATGCATTCGCTTATATCGCACAATCTTTCGATGCCACGTAAAGACGCGTGGGAGGTGCGCACAATTCAGGATTATTTTAAATCCTCGTCTCATTTTTGTTTTTTAACTCTTAAAAAAAGATTTTATCACTAGATAAAACATAAAATATTTAATTGAAATTGTTTTTACACGTGATAAAACATCGCGCGCTTCGTAATGTTTCTTCTTTGTAATTTCATTTGTGTCTATTTTCTCAAAAAATGTGAGGAGACTCGATATCGTTCCTCCGAGTTGCGAGAGTCGACGTTATGCGAGAGTCCACATCACGAGTCCGTGTGGCTCGAAGTTACAGACACACAGCCTAATTCTGAGTAGATATAACTGGTCAACAGGCGGAGAATGCATTCGTACCTCGCGAGGTATGCAAATTAGGGACTAAACGCTGTTGACGCAGAAACGCCATTGATACCGAACGGCCGACCTAGCCCTCGCCTAAACCGCCGGGTTTCGATTCACGCCGCCGTTGCCCATCCGTCGTCTACCCGTTGTTTACCGCGTGTTTCGCCACACACAATTCGCTCTCCTAGGTGGTGTTCTTGGTGATTTACGCGATTTCGTTGACGATCCGAGTTTATATCGCGAGTTTGAGAGACCGCGCGCCGAATCGAAAAATCCAACGCGGTAAATTGCACTATACGCTTATTTGAGTATGTTTTTTTTTATATTTTATTTTATTTTATTTTAATTGACTCGCAACGAATATTTGTATCGCGATCTAACGTGAGAGATTATTTGTTACGTTCTCATTTATCAAATGGTGCATATTTACTTGTTATCAGAAAGTGAAAAATATGCAAAACATAAGACAGAGAGAACACGTTAACTATGTAAATGGGGCGCAATATTTTCTGACACAAATTTGGTTTTACCACATATCAACAAAACTTTTATCTTTACGATGCATATTGAAGAGAAGCTACGTGAGGAGGTGGGTGGGGAAGGGAGAAACATTATCTAAACTAATTTCTATGCACACAGGATAGGAGCAACAAAATATGGTAATTTACCCAAATCGATTCTATAATATGTCGACAAGAAGATGATACGAGAATACTAATGCGAAAACATCACTTTCTTCGATATTGCTTATGCGAATTACAACATGTGCAAAAGATGGTGTAATACGCAGAAAGAGATAGAGCGTGTTTTTAATTATAAACATTATACCACCCGGGTGTGTGTGTGTGTGTGTGTGTGTATGTCACGTCTTTGGGACAAGAACATTCTCTCCTTGAATATTCGAGAGTATCAATTTACGTGTAAAAGTCACAATTAAACATTTGAATAATTTATTAAATTTTTTTATACACTTCTATATTTGCCAGCAAATTAGTTCGCTTTTGTGTGACAAAATAAATTTTCACAGCTAAGCGACAAATTTATTTTCACTATCGCTCGGAGCGAATATCCGCCATCGTTTCGAGTTAGATTTCGCTCCGAAGAGATTTAGAGAGCACGTTTTCGCCGCGCTCTATTTTTGTTAATAAAGAATTTATCTAGACACGCTCAAAAGGGGTCTGTACACAGGGAAACACCGTAACTAACGCTACTGATCTACTGATTACTCGTACTGATATACCTCTACCGGCCGTCTACGTTATCGCGAACGCTTCGTATTTGTAATTAGCGAGAGACTCACTGTAATCCCAAGCCCAGTAATCGCCAGCACCCGCCGTGGGCAGCACCGTGCTCCATGCCTCTATATGCGAGAACAGAAAGATAACAAGAAAGAAAGTAAAGAACTGAACCATGCGTTTCTCGCGGTCGCGCTCGCTAGGGAAGAAACTTTACGTACACGTTTCTCTATAGAAAGAAAAAAAAAAGAAGACACGCGCACACACTTGGTGTGATTTGATTCGACTTTTGAACAACGCTCGAACAACGTTTGTTTGTATTGAAATCGCTCGCGAGAGAAGAAACTTCGTACACCTGCTATTTTCTATAAAACGAAAATAAAAAAAAAAAAAAAAAAAAAAGAGAGACACGCGACAACGCGCGCTTAATATTTTATTCGGACAACGCTCGAACGTTGTATGAAAAATAATCTTGATCGTTATACATAAAACATTATATACACGTAAAAACGATTTTCCCGAACGAATATTGAATGTTCAAACTAACGGAGTTTCTTGATGCGATACATGTGAAGCGCGAAGTTGAATCACTTTTTGTGTAACGATTTGCCGCAAGCATAAACTCTTGATTATCGCCAATCTGCGGCGAGTACGTAAAACGAGTACAGTTTTAACGTAAAACTTGTTCGCTATCGCGTTCTTTCTTTTTTTTTTCACAGAAAAAAATTTTTCAACTTTTATCTATCCGGAAAATTAAAAAAAAAAAAAAACGTAATTGCCATATTGTACGACGTAATTGTTCGATCACACGCTGTACAAAAGTAGCTACTCGAAAAATACAAAATAACATCTTGTTGTAAAAAAACGTCGCGAAATTTGGCGAGTTGTTTTCTTTCTCTCTTCGATGTTTTATTTAAATTATATATTTTTCCGATACTTCCGAACTAACATCGTGAAAACGTAATTTCCTAATCTCAATATCTGGATCACACATGTGTGCAGCAACACACGTCTTAAAAGTTTTATTAAAAACTGTCTTCGTGAAATATTAAATCCGAAACTTTCCCGTCTCTTTGTTCATTAATAACGAACGAACTGACAGCGAGTGCATCAATAAATTACACTCTCTAATAACACTTTTTTTTCAGCAATACTTTACACACGTGTAATAATAATTTATGCATATATATATGTATATATGTATATATTGTGAAAAAAATGCGCGCAGATATTGTTTAAAATTATAAAAATAAAATGATATATTTGCACGGTCGAAACATCTGCCGCATATTTTATTATACGGCATATTTTATTAGAGATTGTGTAAGATCTGAAATTTATGACGCTTGAATAAGAATAGTTACTGTTTTGCATTAATGGCTTTCGAATTAGCATTCGCGTACTAAGCGAGTTTAAAAAAAATACAATATTTCAATTTTTTCAGATCGTTTTTTTTCGTCTATTCTACTTTTTCTCAGTTTTTCAACCGGCAGATGTTCCTTTCTTCTTTTTTTTTTTTACGCTAACGACATTCAAAAGTTGTCCGCGATATCTATGGCAAAAAAGTACCGACTGATTAATTACATATTTTGATCTTCATGAATCCTGAAACTTTTGTTCTTTGCATTCGAGCTTTGCACACAGCCGCCTTGCTTCCTTGAGCTCTCGCTATCTTGCCATTTTATCTTACGCATCTGTAACATCTTCTCGTCCTTTTTCCGGCCTTTTGTATTTTCTTCTACCTTTTTCCTCCATTCGTTTCAACATGGTCATTAAGGCTGAAAATTACATTATATCGCGTATAACGACTCTGTGTCTGTCTCAGACACGACGAGGACAATCGCGTCCTGCAGAAAGCTGTTAACAGATGAATTAAAATGAAATTGTCCCGGTTCTCCTTTTGCGACGAGTCGTCTTTGAAGTTTCACGTTCTTCTGGACGACGTCTCAGTAGCGGCAAAAAGACCCGACCCGTGAGTTCGCAAAGATTTGCAATTATCAGTGAAGTGAACTTTTGAATAAACATCCCCTCTGTTGTCTTCTTCGATAAAAGAAAATTGTTTATTTGATGCGCGACGATATTCTTTTTCCCATCGCGAACTCAATTTTTGTTCTCTCCCTCTCCCCGCTCTCAATAATGCGCAACTAGGATGTTGTTTACTTTGTGGCACATTTGCTCAATATTTATGGAAATGATGTAAAGAAATAATAAATAAATAATCTCTGATGTGTGTTGCTATAAATTTTTGTTGCTAATTATAAACAAACGCGCAAGAAATTTCGTTGGGAAAATAAGTTTGCAGTAACGTATAATTATATGAATTATATGAAACACGCGTATATCACCGCCTGTCACGCGCAGTGGTAACCTAACGAGAAATAGAAAATCCACAGAGTAGCGAAATTACCACTAATGCGCGGTTGAAAATACTTTTTGTGCGCGTAACGCGAAAGCTCGAGAAAATGTAAAATTTTATCGTAGAGAGTAAATAGCAATTAAACTAAATCCGGCATGTTAGTTTTCTCTCTCTCTCTCTCTCTCCAGAAAATGTAATCTCCCCCATTAAATTTGTCGGTTGCCACAATCTTTCGTACTTCATGCTAGACGAAATTTGTCATATTTTCAAGTTCTACAAGAAAATATTACAATATCTATAACACGTGCAATTACGTGTTCGAACGTCTTATTTGAGAAGTAATTAAGAAAAACATTAATCTTTTCTCTAAGATAATCGAGTTATCGGCCACTTGAAACATTGCGAGAGGCGAACCCACGGTGAACATCTCTCCAGGCGAGTATTTTGCTACTCTCGCGACTTCCGAATCGCTTCTGTTAACGACTGCTTGGTGCGCGCACCTCATTAACGGACGAACGAAAAAGTCTGATTGTAATTATCGGCGAAACGTCTTGAACGATTTCCCGAGACTTATTCGGCTTCTCTCTAATTGCCGGTGACAGTTTGAGAGCGAGAAAAATCATTCCGGTACACGTCACGCCGGTTTCTGCAGCTGCCGGCAATTACGTCTCATTAGACGACGACGAGCGTTTTCTTACGAGTCCGCGCACCAGACGTTAACGAGAAATACACGCGATAAGAATCATGTCCAGGCGATTGTTTCATTAAACACAGAGAGAGAGAGATCGTTCTCTCTTTTGCGATTTTCATAATAAATTTATAATTTATTTAAGAATCACGTCGCGCGAGAAGGATTATGAGATATTAACGATTGTTCAAGACGTTATTAGTTTGTTTACCTTTCTCGCAATACGCTCCCTCGTAATCACCGGTGCGGCACTCGCAGATCGGTCCGCTATCCGTCGAAATGCAAATACCTCCGTGCTGGCAGGGATCGCGAGTTTCGCAGGCGTCCGTCGTATTCACCATGTTGCGTAAACTCTGTAACATACAACATCACACCACATTAGCGCTCTGCGAATGAACAAATCACTGAACTGAAATAGTTCCGCGTGTTTTTGCGCGTGCATAAAGAGATAATAAAAATATCTCTCTTATATTAGTAGAATTGTGTGTTGCCGCAAAAATAAACTTTGAAAAAAAAAAAAAAAAAAAACATATGACACTTATATACAAAACATTGTGACGTTTTGACATAAAACGTGTAAAAGAGAAAACATGTTGAAAGAACAAAATTGTTAGTTCGTGAAATTAAAAGCCGCGCTTTTGTAAAAACACAAATAACCTCGCGTAACAATTACAGCGAAACATAAAGAAATCGCGTCTTAAGCCGGCAAATGATCTAGAATTATCCTTATCATGTTGCGCGTGCTGTGCTATTTTCGTATTATGCAGCACAAGCTTCTGTTGCGCGTATATGCCGACTCTGGTTGTGTGTAATAATGTAACCTCTCTCTCGAAACACCAATCCGAGAAAGGGTTTCAGCATGCGAGAAAGAGAGATGCAAATCTCTCTCCGCGAAGAGAGGAAAGGGGTTTTATTTTTCGATTTTCTTTCTCTCTCTTTCTCTCTCTCTCTCTCTCTCGCTACAATATTTCGAGCATTCAACTGACGTTTGAATATTTAAGATAATACACCGGAAATCCTGCTGTAGCATATTTATTTTTTTTTTTTTTGGTCGAAACATTTAACGTGACGTGCGATGCTATCTTGCACATTTGACGTCTATCTCGTTTCGCATACAAAAAACTAGAACACTCAAATATTTATTGTCAGATATTTTCAAGCTCTTACGTTTTTAATCAAAACTAAACATAATATTTTTGCAAAATGACGTACCCTTATTTATTGTGCTTTGTAACATCGTTCGCGTTATTGTTTGGATATATATATGGGACGCGACGGTCTGAAAATATGAAAGGGAGCGAGAAAAAAAATAGCGTGTGCTTAGGTTGAAGAACAGTTTCGCATTTTCCCTCAATTTACATTCATCTTTATTTCACAAGCTTATGCGGCGTTCTTCTGCAGCGGCAAAATAAACAAATGTGGAACGCGCTTCCCCGGTAAACATTTTTTTACGATTCATTTACCTTGACAGTGCATTTTCGCAACGCTGCAACTGCGCTCCGTCGCGTTCTAAGTCTCGTGCGAAACGAGAGTTTTTTTTTTTTTGTTTTACCGTCCCAAGGGACCGGCCATAACCCGACTTTTATGGATGCTCTTTGCAATGAGAATAAGCGAACGTTGATCTTGTTCTCGAAGTTCTTTTAACGTCGGTTCTGTTTCAACTCCAAATCGCGACTCGTTTGAATCGGAGGAAAAGGTTCGCCCGCCGCCTTTCGCGAATTCTGAGGAACTGCTCAGAAGTTGCGTGCACACGCGAGAAAGTTTTCGATGTATAAAACTTCAATGTTAACAAAAGCGGCGGTGCGCGCGAGCGAATTTTATACGAAATTTTGCGAATGTTTCGAAAGGATAAAAGCAACGAACGATTGTCGGAAATTTGGTCGGATGTATAAAAGCTAATTAGCGAATTCGAAACAGCAAGTGCGAGCGACCATGCGCAAATCTTACGGTTTGCGCGCGATTTATTATTTGAACAAATCTCTCTCTCTCTTTCTCTCTGTCTCTCCCACGTATTTGCTCATTTTAAACGTTACACAATTTTTTTTACACGAATTGCTTAGCCATTTCGACGAAAACGAACAATCTTCTTCCGAGCTAACGTAACCAGAATGAATTACACCAGATGGATTATATACCCTTCGCGCGCGCGAAGAGAAGAATCGACATTTCCGACAAAGGGTCAAAAGATCCGAGGATGAAACATTCCCCGGCTCTGAAAATGTTCCCTGAGCGAAAGCAAGCGCTGAAAACTTGCAAATGAATTTTATCTTTGCACAAAGAGAGAGAGAGAGAGAGAGAGAGAGAGAGAGAGCGCACGCGCGCACGAGCGTCCGCAAATCCAACTGATAACAAGACAACCACGAGAGAATCTCCGATTCTTCCTGATCTTTCGCGCTTTGCGATGCGAAGTTCGCGGCAAAGTTCAGACGCGGCGGTGGTGTACGTGGCTGTTGGCCGGCGGATATAAATATTTAAACTTCCTCGCTAGTTCTCGCGAAGACGCGGCGCTTAATTTCCACCCGCGAAGGGAATTGCTCGCGCGTTTGCGGCCAAATACCGCATTGCTCTTCTATATATTTCGTCAGAGAGAGAGAAAGACAGATAATTAGATCAATTAATAATGGAGAAGACTTACATCTTTCTTTGCGGAATACAAACTTCTTAAAACTGGGGCAAAATTTTCTCTCTCCCTCCCTCGCTCATCTTCCGCTCGATCAGATGGGATTGTTTCAACCGGAAGATCGGTGCAAGATGCACGTGTCGGGTCACGGGGTCAATCGCGTCGTCGCCGCGACGCTCTGCTATTGTGGCCAAGATGGTCTTTAGAGTTGGCAAATGGCCATCTCGAACGAGATGGAATAGTAATCTCAGACGATGACGCGAAGCGATCAGAACGAAGGACGATATGAGTTGACCCCCATCGCGCGCTGAATATAAATGACGAAAAATACATTTGGGGTCAAATCTTTTTTTCCAAATATCGAAGAGTATACGTTACCGTATATTAGCGTGTTATCCTCAATTAATATCTGTCTTTTCTCGCAAACGGGGGGATAAAAATAAAAATCACGGAGTAACGCGAAGCTCGTGACTCGAATGTGAACAGAATATATACTTGGGGTCAGATCTTTTTTTTTTTTTTTTTTTCCACGGGGGGTAAATATCGAGGACTGCATTATGCTTAATTGATATTTGTTCTTTCTCGGAGCGAGGGGATAAAAATAGAAAAAAAAATCTCGCGAATAACGCGAATACGGCTCGCGTATGTAACCAAGTTTTGCTTAACGAGTCGACCGCATTAATCATACCGGACCATGCGACGCAGCGGATTGTTAACGAGATTTCCTGCGAGAAAAGCTAATTGACGTCTAGTCGCGGCAAATTGCATTTTCGATATGACCCCGCGGCTTAGCCATTTCTGACCTTTCCGCGCGGCTCGGGTGAAATAATACGGCTTCATGACTTTGAGGTTAAAAAAAAAAAAAAAATAATAATAATAATAAAATAACGATCGGATAGACACTGTGTCTCTGGAGAGAGAAAACTGTTCTTCCTTTCTCTCCGTTTTAAAATGCATTTCCAATGAATATAGTTAATTTTGCGCTCCACAACGGGGAGAGCAACGGGATATCAATTTGACATCGCGAAGATCGATAATTTTGCTCCGCGCGTTTCTTACAATCCGCCGCGAATCAATCCCGCGCGTTTTACGGGAACGAAGTTAATTAACTGCAATTAATCCAGCGCGCACAGCGGAATTCGGCAGCGACAAAAGGCTCCAACGATATTTATGAACTATGCGCGGGCATAGTTGCGTAAGTATGCTCTCTGTGCCGATCGCGTCGCGGGTACCGAAAGTACTCGAATAAATCAGATGATTTAAGTTCGGCGCGATTAAACGGCACACGATCGCGTCGTCAAATTTTCTCCACCGCTCTACGTACGTACATATATATATGTATATATATATATATGCATACGTGTATTATACAACGAGGATTTATCGGGGGTGGATTATCCGCGCCGTAAATTTGAAACTTCTTAAAATTTAAGCGCCTTTATTCCCCCGCAACGATTATGAATCGCAAAATTTATCGCTCTTGAAATTGTTATTACAACAAACGAGCGCATCCGCGCCCGTTAGACGTTCTTGCACGTGCGCTACGTGCCACTCCCAGGTGTTCGCGCGCGCCGCGCGAATACATATAGGAGAGGTGTATATACGGTTTCCAAGGCGCATGTATAACGCAAGATGCGGGGAACGATTACGTATGCGTTTCCACGAACGGTACAATTTTGCGCGCGACACGAGTCGTCGTGTCTCCGAGGATACCACATCCCAGGTGCAACGTGCATTCTTCCGGCCGCAAAGCGACGGCGACGGCGGCGGCGTCGCGAAGTACGTCCGGGGACGAGCTCGGGGTCGCGGCAACTCTGATAAAGTCAGAAGAGAGGGTGAGGGAGCTTACGCCCCCGACCCGTCAGATTGTCGACAGAAACTAAGGCAATAAATAAGGCCCTCGCATACACTCATACACACACAGAAAGCAACGCTGTGTGTCCGGCGCAAACGCGAAACTGCGACGAATGTGCTATTTAGTTCTGACCACTGAAATCCCGGAGAGCGTATATATATACACGATCTACGAGGTTACGAGATAACGTTGGAAATATAGCCAATAGAATAAGTTGCGTCAAAGCGAGCGAGCGAGCGAGCGAACGAGCGAGAGAGCTCTTCGTCGTTTCGCCCAAACTTCCGCATCCGAAAGGATGACACGCCGGTTGTAGCGCGGAGCTTATGGAATTAACGACCGCGATGGCTAACCGCGTTAACGTCAATGCAACGCGATACGCGACCGTCCGATTGCATAATTTATTCGGCACTTCGCTGATTGCTGTCGTTGCTCTGAGAGAGAGAGAGAGAGAGAGAGAGAGAAATGTCGCGCGCATTTGTACAAATTCGAATTCTCTTTAATTTACGCTAACGTAAATTTTCGCAGACGCAAACTTGCCGCGACTCGTGTTAAAACTAGCTGTTTTGAGCGAAATAAAAAAACGGTAGTTTTTAGAAACTTAATAACTTTTTATCGATATAATAAAATTGTGGCACTTTCAATGACACGTGCGTGATTCCAATGAGAAGACGTACGAATCGGCATTTATAATCCTGAGGTTTTACATTATTCTTTTTTTTTTTTTTAGTTAAATAAGCGCGCTCGAGGGTCTATAACAAAGTTTGACGTTGACTTTAACTAAATCGGAAAAGTCCGCAACTATCCCACTTAAACTTTAAAATCTTCCTATTAAACTCGACCGATTTCCTGTGACGCGTTCTAATAAAAATTCATATCAA